AAAAAAAAAAAAAAAAAAGGAAGAAAGTGCAGCAGCATACCACCTAAGTTCTTAGCTTACCTAGATGGCCCTGATATAATATAATGGTGATGCTCAGAGGGCAAGAGACCCAGGGATCAGAAAGGCTCTGGGTGGACCTCATTCTCCGGCTTAGAATCCTGCTTCACCTCTGCCTCTCCCTCTTTTCAAACCTTTTAGAGAAGAAAACTCAAGTAAACCTAAACTCCCTATTCTGATTTGCAACTCCATAAAAACTTGACTCCCTCTTCCTATTCAGTTCTAACGCCCAGATCAGATCTCATCAGTCACCAGGAAAGCATTCTTTGACATTCCTAGGCAGATGTTCCAGGTTGCCTAGGACATAAACCTCTGTACTTTCCATAATTGTAAAAATGATCTCTTTATGATCTGAATCTTCTTTTAGTACATGAATTGCTTAAGGGTTCTGTGTCCCTGGAATTCCTCAGTGTTCAGAGAATTCAATTGTTGTGTCTAATTAAATAAAATCAATCTGTCTGCTACATATGTCTATTTTCTCTTCATCATGCCCTTGCATAAAACCTGTGTTTCAACCATACAGGGGCCTGTGCAAATGGTATACTCTGTCTGGGGTGCCCTCTTCCAACTTTCTTTCCAATGAACTGTGCTTTGAAAGTTAGATCGCACTTTTGTAAGGCTTTTTATCCACTACATTCTCATTGATTTGTGCCTATTGTAATTAAAGAAATATCTCATCCTAGAATGTTCTACAAAGGCAACAAACAGTTTATTTGTAAGTAATATTAATTTGGCCCTGAGTCCCCAAGAATCTGTATTTTATTGTCAATTATACCCTTACTTGTATTCAAATCCATATAGAAGATAAGATTTTAGTCCAACAGGTATACTGACATTTTTCTAAATTACATAAGGAATATGTTAACACATTATCCCTGTAAAAAAAATGAACCTATGATAGAGCAGGCTGAAGTTTCTTTAATTATCGCTTTCGGTTATGATCTATTTCTTCTTCAGAATAATCCTCATTTTGTGATTTCTTCTAGGCCTTTTCATAAATAAATACATGACTTTAAATACATACTTTAGCACTCATTTTAAAAGTGCAGTGTAAGTCATTGCTTTACATTTAACGGTGCTATCCTGAATTATCATTATTCTGCATCTCATATTTACTCAATAATTTTCCTTAAAATCTTTCTATACAGAGACAGATCCATAACTAGCAGTCTGGTTCACAGCAAGGCATGTTAAGCAGAAAGAAATTTGAAAACACCTAAAAAAACCATAGAAAGGGCTGAGGTGTCACCCATAAACTAGCCTGGTCCCTGCTTATTCTCAATTGTTTTTCAGCCCCAGGAAGCCAGAGGACAGACAGTGGATACCATGCAAGAACACCATGTCTTATTGATGCTTTATTAGCAAATCCAAAAGCAGCCTTATTTTGTTTTAGAAGGCCTGTGAATTCCTTCTCCCTTCTAAATTTTGTCTAACCAGAAAAATATGATCTGTACGCAGAATCCCAACTGTAAGGAATTGTGGAGGTGCAGTTTGTAGCTATTCAGTCTGCTACATATAAAAAGGACTTAGAATGATGATGAGTGAGTCAGCTCACTCACTATATCTACCATAACCTCATTCCTTTTAACACTTGCAAGATACTCCATACATTGATATACCATAGTTTAATAATTCTCATAATTAATAATTTGTTTACATTTATTGTATTGCAAATTTTGTAATAAATATCATAGTATATTCCTGTTTAAGTGCATGTGCTAGGATAGATACTTAGACATGAAACTACTTGGTTATAAGGTAAATAGTTTTAAAAGTAATCACCACCAAGCTGTCCTCTAAAATTATTATCTCATGCAAATGAAAACAATGCTGAGATTACACCTCACACCAGAAAGAATGGCTGCTATCATGAAATCAACCAACAACAAATGCTGGTGGGGCTGTGGGAAAAGAGGAACACTCCTCCACTGCTGGTGGAAGTGTAGATTGGTGCAACCACTGTGGAAATCAGTA